TTCCACTAATTTACATTACGTTCTTGAATTAATAATGAAAAACGATGTGATGAACACAATGCGGTTGACTTGATCCAGGCCAATGGTGTTCTGTCAAAGATAAACGATTTTTAGTTGCCCACAGTTAGATTTAAGTTGGTCTGGAAGGTGATCTGTAAATTATTCCGATTAGTGTTTAATCGTTAATTTTTTTTTACTCCATGTATTTTCTACCTTCATAGAAAGGCAGTATGCAATATCTTATACTAATCCTGTCGTCCTTTCTTTCATAAATAATTAAACAAAAACATGTTTAATAGCTTTTTTATAGAAATGGAATTGTATCCTTATTAAATCAAATCTTTTTTTTATGTGGTATGTTTAATATTTACTGCATAAATTTTTATCCACTGTTGTTGAAGCGATATATATATATCCCTTTCAAGCCCGCCCATTCCGGGTATTATTCGTAGAAATTGTGCGACATCAAATTTTGAAAAATTATTTGTGATATATTCCAACAAATTTTCTCTAAAAATACAATTATATCTGAAAGTAGCTTTCTTTTCTCTTTCACCAGAAGGGGATTGAAAGGAGAATCTGTGACGTCAAACGGACACGAAACCCCGTAGATAATTGTGGAACTATTTTCTTCCTGCAATAGGTTTAAAATAACCATAAACCTCAAGTCTCTGTGTTTCTTGTTTAGTAAATTTAATGTTTCTAAAAGTGTAGAGATTGTATATATATATATCATTTGAAACCTGTGATTATATTCTTTGTCTCAATCTATTTGCCGTAGGGCCTCTTTCCTTCCAACTATAAGTACACAAGAAACGAAGAATATGAATACTGACAATAAACGACCTTATAACACCAAAATGTTGTTTTTACTTAATTAAACACTCAACGTTTCGCTTTACAGCTTCTTCGGGAGCGTTGAGTGAAACACAAACCGAAACTGTTTCCTGTAATTAATCTGTACCACAGTCACTAACTTGATCTCTACAAGCCAAATGACGCACTTGATCTGTACAAGCCAAATGACCCATTGAACCTTTTCTTGCATGGTTGCTATTTTACCGGGTAACACTATTCACTGGAGTGAAAACAAACAACAAAAACCGGGTAACACTATTCACTGGAGTGAAAACAAACAACAAAAACCGGGTAACACTATTCACTGGAGTGAAAACAAACAACAAAAAACACGACAATAGAAGCTGTTTAAGTTGGGCTACAAGATGCTGAAAAATGCGTGGTTGTATATTATTTAATTAATAAATTTTGAAATAGGAAAAATAATTTTGGACCACCCTGTACTTATCAAATAGAAAAATTATACGGGGGGGGTCCCCAATAAATAATCCCTTCCCCAAAAGGATAAAGATACTAGGATTAAAATGGGGGCCCAAGCAACTAAGCCCCTTCCAAAGGATAATTTACTGATATTGTGTGTGTTTTGTTATAGCAAAGCCACATCGAGCTATCTGCTGTGTTCACCGAGGGGACTAGAACCTCTGATTTTACTGTTGTAAATCCGAAGACTTACCGCTGTCTCACCGGGGGACACTACTGGTATTAAACAAGTATATAGGTAGTCTGAAGCCTGTATTTACGACGGATTTCAATCTTCTTAGCCTGCTTGCAGTATTATTCTTCACAATTTGCTTCGACAAAACTAAATCGTTTCTTCGAGACTATTCTTATTGTTTCACTTTTTAAAACCACACAGTTTATTTTACAACGTTTTTAAACGAAAAATGGAGTTGCTGAAAATAATTTCCTCTATATTCAGATCATAAAAACGAAAAAGACTGAAAATTGGAAATGAAAGCGTCTATAGAAATTAAATTAGATGATTTGAATTTGATTGTTTGTTTGTCGTTAAGCGCAAAGCTACACAATGGGCTATATATGTGTGATGTGTGTATCAGAACTTGACGTACTGCTGAACTACTGGAAGTAATCGAATTTACAAAGAAAAAAAAATTAAAAAAAGTTCAAACAGATCGCTTAAAAAACAACAAATAAAATCAATAGATATTAATTGTGAAACTTTAAAAGAAAGAATGATACAAGACCTGTTCTTTATAGGTATTCAAGTGTAGGCTGAACTTAAACAATTGTAAATGTTTGGACACCGTAAATCCGGTATGTTAGTCCCAGGCACTCTGGCCACTTTTAACTCTTTGAACACTGCTTTGTAGAGTAAATATTGGTCATTTATTCTTATAAAAGAAAGCTCTTCTCAGTAAGGTATCCTACATTTTTTATTCAAGTGATTCACTTTACTTGAAATCGAAGAATTTGTTGTTATTTTCGCTGGTAATTGTATTTGTTAAGAGGTCATTATCGACATAATCACGCTATTCAGTTCCATCTAACATGGCGTCACAAACCGATGTCGTGTGACGTAGGTCACGTATGTGCTTGCATAAGGTCTATTCACGCTATTCCATACGAAGAAATACCACTAAGTTCGCCAAACGAATGGATTTCTGTGTGATGGATCTGTTGAAAGGGACGCTGGGAAACCGTCGTCCTCATGCACTGGGCGGATTGCAGAAAGCCCTGCTTGGAGTAATAATTTCCTTTGGACTTGATATCCTTACGACGGAGCCTTTTGCAAAGGAAACTACGCGTATAGGGGTACTTTAAAGATGCATCGTCGTCAGACAGAATATGACGGACACGGCGACATGGACTGCAACGATGCGATAAGACTCCAAAATTATGTTAACGTAGCGTTCTCAACCCTTGTATTCTATTTTATAGTTTTTTGTTTGAAGTTAAGCACAAAGCTACACAATGGGCTATCTGTGCTCTACCCACCACGGTTTCTAGCGTTGTAAGTCCGCAGACATACCGTTGTGCCACTGAGGAGCCTATTTTATGGTACGATTATGTAAAGCCATCATTCCCATTTTCTGGAACTAATAAAAGCAAACAAAGCTATACAACATTTGAATGAATTGTATTTACTCATATAACAATAAAACCCAAATACTTTACCATTGTATTAGTTTTGTATACAACTTTATTAAAAAAGATAAAATTTACTCCAGAAAGACTTCTCAAACGATTTTTGTGTCAACTTTCATAAGTCCTCACTTTTCCAAAATCGATAATAACTCACTATAGCAATCAAATCCTTCCATGAACAAATGAAACAAATAAATACATCAATACTGTTAAGTCTCCGTTCGTTAATTAATTTTCCGTAAATTCGTTCCGACGAAACTTTAGCGACACAAGTCCTTTCTTAAATAAAACTGGTTTATTCTTTCCGAATACAACTTTACCGATACACTTAATTTCAACAGTCGTTCTATAACAAACGCTATAATTCTCAAAAAACGTCTCACGTGCTCGTGCTCGACAATACTCAGTTCAATTACTCATTGCTCCGTCACGTTGTGACCGTCTTATATATACAAGACTACCCCCAATCTAGAAGGATCACGAGATTTAAGGAAAAGACGTGAATGTTCGAGAACGACGTGGCGTGATACTAGTCACGTGACCTCGATGTCGTAACAATACCATTAATTGGAATTCTTTGAAGTATAAAGTTATATATTATTTGGCTGACAAATATTAATAATTAATCACGTAATTAGATATTTTATTTTTTTCTTAAACATAAAATCCGGAGTGGATCGTACAGAAAGTAGTAGTTGTTTCGGTCCTCACACTTTCCGGCAAATGACCAGTTGTTTCGGTCTTCACGCTTTCCGGCAAATGACGAGTTGTTTCGGTCCTCACACTTTCCGGCAAATGACCAGTTGTTTCGGTCCTCACAGTTCCCGGCAAATGACCAGTTGTTTCGGCCCTCACACTTTCCGGCAAATGACGAGTTGTTTCGGTCCTCACAGTTCCCGGCAAATGACGAAAATCACTAAAACTACCTTTCAACGATAATTTGCTATTACAGTTTACGTAATATACAATTTTCATGTTCATCGGTTCCCTTATTGCAATGAAATCTTCATTTGGAAATGGGTTATCCCCCCCCGTTTGTGTCAAGATTTTGGTGGATATGCATTGCCTTTTGTAAATTAACGTTTATAGAAGACCTATTAAACTAGTCAAGCAGGATCACTTTGGCTGAAAACTGAAGATTGGAACTTCGCGTGATCCTGAATACGGGATAGCATATACGTTAGCATTCGTTACGATCCGACATTTTACCACGTTTGCTTAAGTATTCTATCATAAATATCCCTCAGAAGCCAAAATACAGCCATGAGCTGAAACAGGATTATTCTTTAAGGAAGGGAGTTCACTTTCAATACACCAAAACATAAATATGAATTTGATGAAGAGGAACCCACTTTTTTAGAAAATAAAAGTTTGGTTTGTTTGTTTTGAATTTCGCACAAAGCTACACGAGGGTTATCTGCGCTAGCCGTCCCTAATTTAACAGTGTAAGACTAGAGGGAAGGCAGCTAGTCATCACCACCCATCGCCAACTTTTGGGCTACTCTTTTACCAAAGAATAGTGGGATTGACCGTCACATATCAACGCCCCCACGGCTAAAAGGGCGAGCATGTTTGGTCGAACAGGGATTCGAACCCGCGACCCGCAGATTGCGAGTCGAGCTCCCTAACCACCTGGCCATGCCGGGCCCTTTCCTGCCTTGTGAAGAGTTAATCAACACCAAAGTATTTTGAAAGTTGCATTGTGTTTCAAGCGATTGAACCATAAACTTGTGCAAAGTTTTATATCAGAAATTGAAATGGTGGGTCTTCTCTTCTTCAGAGTTGGCACCAAAACATGGTACTTTATGTACGACCGACTCATCATGTTAGGAGCAATTAAAAAATTAAATTATTGAGAATTTGTATCCACAAGTATAATTTCCAATACACGTATAATGTCACGATTACCCCCATAATGTTTCATAGGTCCTCATGAGGTTAGTGGCTAATGTACAGGTAAGGGTTTTTAAACATCTTGCTAAACACGTGTAAGCCTAATAGTAATAAAATTAATGATAATCTTAACTTAAAATACATTTAATTATTAGCTCTTCCCAATATCTAGCACTTTTAACCAGTATGTATATTCAGAAGAGTACAAAAAACAGCATGAGGTCATCATAAGGCATTTCCCATCATGCATCAAATGAACAATATTTTCCTCAACTTAGAATTTGGTCCTTTCAGAGAAACATGTGACAAGAATTTATACAAATTAATTTAATAAATAATACAGATTTGATATTTGTTTCATGATTTCTCATATTTTACACAGTTCTATCCACTAGAATTTCCAAGTTAAAGAGCATAACAGTTTCTTCTTCTTTTTTTTTTTTAGTTTTAGAAATATTATTAAATTAATTAAAATTATTTTTGTTTTGTTTATGTTTTCTCCATCTGAAACTAGGAGGTGGCATAATAACTACTCTTAACAAAAAATCATTTCATTTTCAGTTTTGATGTCACAAATGGGTCTATAATTTTACACATATGCCATTAAAATAATATTTGAAATTTCCACAATTTCTTTGTTTGTAGTAAAGCACAAAGCTACATTATGGGCTATCTGTGCTGTGCTCACCATGGGTATCAGATAAAACCCAGGTTTTAATGTTATATGACCACAGACTTACCAGTAACTGTGCAACTGGGTGGCAAAATTTCCACTAAAGTGCATGGTTATATCAGAAAAAAATTAGTGGTCATCTATATGCATAAATAATTAAATGAAAATATTTATGACTTTTGTTTTCAATTAAATGATCTCTTTGTGTGTGTGTGTGTAAGCCAATTACTAAGTTTACTTCCAAACTAAAGAAAACTGTGAGACTAGTTGTTGTTTTTTCTCACAACGATTTAGTTTTAAATTTCACCAGTTGAACGAACATACTAGATACAAATTGAACAAATACAAAAATTGCAAAACATCAATAATTTCTTGATTGTACTTCCTGCGTTAACAGACCTTGTCACTTCTTCGTGGTATTAATGTATCACCAAGTAAAGAAAACAGCATTATTACAGAGGTGTTGTGTAGCACACACACACACAAAGAACTGATACGTATATTAAAAAATGTGTAAGGTAATAGCAAGATATGTTTGAAATTAAAACATTCTCTATAATGAAGTAAAATAATAAGACCACAGGAAAACGTAAACACAATCTACAATGATCAAGTATTGATTCTGATAAATCTATTGTATGAGTTCTTCTATCTTCCTAGAGAATTAACTTTACACATACATAGCTGTGAAATACAATTCTAACTGGTTTATATATACGTATAACAAATACAACATGTCATAGGTGTAATTATGCATTTATACATCCATAACTGTTAACAATTATATTAATTCATATCAATAGAATGAACCATTAAGTATATGAAAAAAGCAATAAATTTTATTAAAAGTTAATTTTAATTGAGTCTGATATATTGGTCTTCTTGACAACTAAGAAATTACAAGAATGTAATGGAATGCAACAATCATTTCTATATATATATATATATATATATCACTGACCGAAACATCCACATCACATGTTTTCTTTGGTTCAATATTATAGATAATTTCTACGTGAATATGTGTTTAAGTGCATGCTAATCTCACCCTGGGATTAAGTCAATTAATTTGACTAGCCCTTCTGGAAACACTTGTACTTGTGATTATATCATTAGTATTTGGCTAAGTGTGTTTTTTAATTAATTCTTATCATACATTACTTTAATTTCTCTGTTGATTTATACTTTTTTCTTGGCTGTAACTAGCTATTTGGACATTGAAGTTGTCTCTTTCACACATTCACACGTACGTATATATATATATAATTGGAAGTTATAGTCTGAAATCCAAGTTTGACCTCGGTAGAATACTGGCTCTGGTTACGATGTTTGTTTCTTTTCTACTGTTGTCATAATAAACGTAAGTTAACCCTAATACTATAGTGGCTCTGACAACTTAAGTCTGTTGTAAGTTTTGTGAGCATGCAGGATGAAAAATAAACTCCTATTAGCACCTAAATATAATTAGAAGCATTTGATGATGAAGGCAGACACACTGCGGTGTTACTTGTATTACTAGCTCCCAATCCTTTTCACTCCACAGACAGGCAAAATCTGTACAAAAAAAAAGTTTACAGCTAACCAATAGGGTTTGTAACTTTAAAAAGTTGTTTCCTAATTTATTTACTTCAAGAACCTTTGAAGTGAAAGTTATAAAGCTCATTTATTTTACAACGAACTAAGAAGGAAACAACACTTTCTATCTAACCGAATTACACATTTCACAAAAATTGAGTCGTTCACAATCTTTTCTCTTTTTTTTTTTTGGTCACTGAGTCTTTCTGTCAATTTTACAAATAAAGAGTTCTACAAGGAGTTCTGAAGCTCTATGCTCATCAAAAGAGTTCTTGTAAACAGTAAAAGGTGTTGTTGTTATTGGTTAAAAAAAGGTTGTTATAAACAGTGAAAGATGTGTTATTGGTTAAAAAGATTCTTTTAAACAGTGAAAGATGTGTTATTGGTTAAGAAAATTTTGTTATAAACAGTGAAAGATGTGTTATTGGTTAAAAAAAGGTTGTTATAAACAGTGAAAGATGTGTTATTGGTTAAAAAAAGGTTGTTATAAACAGTGAAAGATGTGTTATTGGTTAATCCATTGATTGTTGATTTGCTGCACAGGCTACGGTCCTTCTCTGGTAGTTGAACGCAAGTGTGCTGTATACAGTGTATAGCTCACAAAAATTCCATACACATTTAAAGTACCCACAGTCAAACGGTTAAAAAAAAAAAAAAAAATACCTTTTACTGTCTGTGAGAACCTTTTTAGCCAATAACACATATTTCACTGTTTACAAGACTTTTTTTAACCAATAGAACACCTTTCACTATTCATAACAACCTTTTTTTAACCAATAACACATCTTCCACTGTTTATAACAACCTTTTTTTAACCAATAACACATATTTCACTGTTTACAAGACTTTTTTTTAACCAATAGAACACCTTTCACTATTCATAACAACCTTTTTTGAACCAATAATTCACCTTTCAGTGTTGAGAAGAATCAGTATTTATTGTTTATTATAGTTGTGTGTAACATTGGATAGTATTTGCTGTTTGTTTTAGTATACTTCTTACTTTAAAACCTTATTCTTTACACATATTAACTTAAATACCTATGTCAAGCATGAAACAACTTTAGAAAAATCTTTAATAGACAGTTCTAACATTTTCTGGTTACTAGCATTAAATGTTTTGATTTTTTTCTGATTACTTAAATTTCTTAGCAGACTTGATTTTCTTCAAAAAAGAAAGTTATTGTATTTTATTGCTGTTTTTTTTTTACAGGGAAGACAATAGCATCACATCAGCATTCATCTTTAGTATTGCAAATTAGGGATCAAAACACGGTAGAATATACACCTGTAATACAGTTTCACTATTTCAAGTTTTAGTAAAATGAAATGCAGGTACTAGAATATCTTAGTATGCAAAGTTTACTTGGTTATCAACACTACTTAAAAATTAATCTAAGTATTTTGAAACTAAAAGGTTTCTTTCTGGAGCCTCTTTCATTCTCCAGAACCTTTTAAACACACACAACTATAACAGACAATAAATACTGTTCAGTGTTACACACAACTATAACAGACAATAAATACTGTTCAGTGTTACACACAACTATAACAAACAATAAATAATACTGTTCAGTATTACACACAACTATAATAAACAATAAATAATACTGTTCAGTGTTACATGCAACTATAATAAACAATAAAAATACTGTTCAGTGTTACACACAACTATAACAGACAATAAATACTGTTCAGTGTTACACACAACTATAACAGACAATAAATACTGTCCAGTGTTACACACAACTATAACAAACAATAAATAATACTGTTCAGTGTCACACACAACTATAATAAACAATAAATAATACTGTTCAGTGTTACACGCAACTCAAACAAACAGCAAATATTGTTCAGTGTTACACGCAATTATAACAAACAACAAGTACTGTTCCGTGTTACATGCACCTATAACAAACAAGTACTGTTCGTGTTACACGCAACTATAACAAACAACAAGTACTGTTCCGTGTTACACGCAACTATAACAAACAACAAGTACTGTTCCGTGTTATACTGCATAGACTCAAAATATTTTTAATACATATCTGAAAAATTTACAAATTCTAAAAGAATAAAAAAGGTTCTTTAGAAAATCCTTTTTGAAAGAATCATTAATTATTAAAAAACCTTTCATAAGGGTTCCATATGGAACTTGTTCAAATTTTGTATACAAACAAATGGATAAAACCCTTAAAGTTTCTAGGTAGTACCAGTTCTTTTAAGCTGTGTGGACTGAAGAAAAACATAAAGAGACACATAATAGTTGTTACTCAATCTGGGTTTATCAGAATAAAATACATGGAAGGTTGAAGACATGAAATGGAAGTTACCCAAAACACCTTGATGAATCAACTAGCACTACCTCAGGTTGTTGCTGTTCATAAAGAAACATCATCACATTGGAGATTTTTCTCGTTGTGATTTTTATGGAAACAGGATGTTGCCATGCATCAACTCTGTTTACTTGCTGCAATAATTTTTTTTTTTATAATCAAATCAATTTATACATAACATAGGATCAATCTATGCAAGATTAAAGAAATAATTATAGAGTAAAGAGGTTTGAATTTGAAAATAATACATTGAAGACTTTTTTTTAGATATGAAATTTGACAAAGTGAAGCCAATAGCATTCAATTAATTGTTTCTTATAAATTTCAGTACATTAAAATTAGCTTACCTGAACTTTTTAAAGATAGAATTCTATTAAAGGTTCCACATTAATTCATGATATATATGGAGAAATCTCATAAACTTAGAATTTTGTGCAGAGTTTAAAATGTGGTTTACAGGCTTATTGTGTTTTCTACTTTCATATATAATGTAGAATTATCTAAAATTTTCATTTATGCAGGTTTACATAGTTTAACATACAATGTTGGTTATAACAGTAATAATTAAGTTTTTTTTGTTTTTTTTTGCTCTAGGTACCTATTGTTCTGGGTCATTCATCTAAGGTAACACCTGCAACTTCTCCTGAGAAAGATTTCTGTAAAGTTGTACAAACTATGTGAAAGTATACAGCAGTATTTTCCAGTGAAAACAACTTCATTTGTGAAAACACTATTTTTGATTGTGTTTGTGTTCTGAACAAAGATTGTTTCATTTTGTAATAAGTTGTGTCTGGTCTCTCCCATTCTACAAATTCAATTAAAGTCAGAGAATTCAGATTCACTCTGTGGTAGATTTTCTGTTGGCCTTCCTGTTAGTGTAAATCAGTACAACTGAGAATACCACAAGAATAAGAGGATGGTTAGGGATTCCAAAACATCTTATGATTACTGTTATGTTATTTTTCGGAATCTGTAAGCTTGTAAGTGCTTTAGAATCAGAAAAGACCCTTGCAAAAATATTACTTTTTTTTTTCCATAATTTTTTTTTAAATTATGTAATAAACATATGTACAGAAAACATGTATCCATAAAAATGTAAATTTCGTTGCATATATATTTAATATACACCTGGAAGCTGAACCGGAGACAGAAACAATTTATGCAGAAGATGTCATTATTTGGTCTATCTAGGTGTTAGTAAGCTACTAAAAACAAAAGTCAGGATACTCTCCATTAGACTAATTATATTATTACAAATTGGATTGTTTGCTTAGATTCATTTATCAAGTGTTACCTATGTAAGAGTAAGAATCCCACGAACCTGACTGTAACATACTCCTTGTGGTACACTGTTACTGAAACTATCATTCCTGTTGGCATGTAGCTTGTGGTTTACAGCAGTTACTGTTGAACTAAAACAAGCAGGAAAAAACTGATTACATAAATGTTATTTTGTTACAAAAACTTAATATATTAATTAAAATATATTATTTTTAAGCTAGTAATTGAATTAATGTCCTTATTTAAAAAAGCTTTAACTCTTTTCATGAGAAACATCAAATAATTACTCTGAGTTTCAAAGCTGTTTTTGTTATAATTGTATTTTTCAAATACAATTTTGGAGGTTCATGGTGTCAAATATTAGAAAATATTCATACAAAACTTAAGAATATTTGCAACACAGAAAATGAAAAGTTAATACTTTTCTAGACCAAATATTTTTTCAAATTTTAAACATACTTACTGAATCTTCATGCAAAATAAAACCTAAAGGAAGGAGAAGTATAGGTAAAAATACTTAAATTTATAACTGCTTTTAAGCTTGCATATATATTGACGTAATTTTACTAATTATCATCTGGCCATATTACATTTAAAAATCACATTTTTTAAGTATCAAATGATACACGGCATACATTTGCATTGCATTTTTACAATAAACAATCAACACTGTGTGATATGCAGGCATATTATGCATTTTATACCTTCTGTAGTGATAAAGAATATATTTTTTTATTATTCAGTTTCCACAGTTTCATAGTGGATACATGTGATCGAGCATGTCATTACCTTTACTTTGTTCTAGTTGCTTCATTTCTTCATTCTCTTGTAATGATGTCTCGTCAGCATGCAGAAGTATTTCAGTATTGCATCTAGACTCTGAATTAAATGAGTAAAGCACTGAATTATCCTTGGCTGGCTGATTGTGATTTCGACTGAATGTACAGCTGCAATGCTGTGATGGAACAAGGCTCGCATGGTGAAGCTGCTAACTGGACAAAGGAAGCAAGTTAACATTTTAGATCTGAGCATGCTTTCTTTGTTCAGTTCTACATGGTGAAGCTGCTAACTGGACAAAGGAAGCAAGTTAACATTTTAGGTTTGAGCATACTTTCTTTGTTCAGTTCTACATGGTGGAATTCCTTTGTCCAGTTAGCAGCTTCACCATGTAGAACTGAACAAAGAAAGCATGCTCAGATCTAAAATGTTAACTTGATGCTCAAACCTAAAATGTTAACTTGGCTTTCGTTGTCCAGTTCTATATGGTTTTGATTTGACTAATTTGGCAAAAATTCATCACGAGGGATGAAAAGCTGACAAGGTATTTACTGATCCAGTAGAGTCGATGGTCAACTTGTCTACACAAACTTTTTTTTTGTATTTGTGTCTAAATAGATTGTTTTCACTGTGATTTAAATGTGTCCAATCTGTTTATTTATCATGCAATTTAAAATTCATATAAGTTAACAACTACAGAACACCACCTTATTTTTTGATAGAACCTACTGTTATTTATTTTACTTGTGGGGAAATTAATTTTATCTGAAAATACCACAACTGAAGCCCTAACAATATCATATCTTTTGAAACAACTAATAAATTAATAAATAAACTTAGTACTCCGAAAATTGTTTAATCTCGAGGTCTAAGTTCAAGGGAGTTCCAGTTCAATCTACACATCAGCAACCCTGATCACAAGTTAACCAAAGAGAGATAAGCTGGGCCTATATCATAATGAAGAGTATCAAACATATTAATGGTGTAAACATGCTTCATAATCACTATGAGTTTATAGGTTTTTCTCAAAGCTTTTTCATTAATTTTAATGACCTTTTCAGTTAAAAATCTACCTACAAAATGAACATGATTCCTTATGTTATTTTTTATACTTTTAGACCCAAAACAATTCCAAACAACCTTACATTATATAATAGTTGATCATTTTATTAACAGTAGTTAAAACTTCACCATTCCATAATTAGCAAAGAACATATCTTTATTTACATTCATTAATAAAGTTAATTTTTCTAACTATTTGTATAGGTGTTATACCTTTAGTTAGTTGCCACGGTTATAAACAGGATGTAGAGAGTTGTAAGCTTGCACTAACACTTTTGCTTACAAAGAGTTCGTATCACAATGATCGTTCTATAAAGGCTTATACTCACTTGGCTGTATTTCTGTGTTATGCTCTCCTGAAGTGAGGTTGTTTTCATTTCTTGAGGTGGTACAAGACTTGTACAAGTTAGTATGAGTTGAGAATTTATCTCCCATGGACACGTATGGTGCGAATAACACAATTAATCTAGGATTGTGTGATATTGCACTACAAACTTTTGGTTTAACTTAACAGTGCAATACATCATTATTCCAATTCCTGTCTTGGTGGTGAAGGTTTAAAGAAATATTGATGTTCCACCAGCTAGATGCTAGTGATAACAGACCTTAGAAGTTGACCAGCTTGGCTATGAGTAAGACTAGCATCTTTTGTGAATGAACATTTTATAACATAGCACTAAAGGACAACAAATGACCTTTTTCTACATCTAGGCCATCCTATCGATTAAATTAAACACTAAAAACTCAAAGCTAGCCCTTATCATTCAAATATTTATCAAAGTCTCCCTTTAACTCTCTTAAATTAACTCCATCCACCACATTCAAAGGCAGCTCATTCCAAAAACCAACCGCCCTGTTTGAGAAATAAAGCTGTATTAGTTGAAAATTACTCCTACCCTGCCAAAATTTATATTTGTATCCTCTTGTGTTTGTTTCTTTTCCTTTGCTGTATGAGTTTGATTTCTTCTAAGTTAAATTTTATGGCAGACATCATTAACCTGAAAAACCATAAATTAAATACATAAATTATTTTTTATTAAATTAAAGTTAAAAGTTTGCTAACCAAAAATCCATCAAGACAACTTTGACTTTTCACAATATTTTGTAAGTTGACCTTTTTATATATATATATAAAAAAGCTAGAAGATAAAATGAAATTGATAAAAAAACTGTTTTTGTTGAAGGACATGAATACATCTCTCTTTCATTTAATTTTTCAGCTAAGAAGAAATGCATAAAATTTATGTAATCTTAGTAAATAGCAGAAACTTGTTTTAAATTAAAATTACTTTCATTTTTCTAAGTAAAAAAAAAAAATAGTTACTGAATAATCTTCGCAGTTAATTTTTCATGCAAAAATAAAACATACAGTTAACATGAAACATCATGTACAAGTGCAAAATTTTTGAACTGCTCATGCAACTTTCCTATAAGGCATCAGAAAGGATGCATTTACATTTATTCTTTAACAAGAGTTTCTCTTACTTTCAAGGATAAACAAAAACAAATTGTGCTTTTAACATTGAGAAAATATCAATGTAGAAAAATATCAAAATAAAACTTACACCCAAAATTATACATCATTAAATGTATATCATTATATCTAAATTTAATGAATACTAAAACACATTATAAGACTTGAAAAGAATTAACATTCAGATTTAAACCATGCAAAAAAAAATGCTTATGGCATTACTAATACAGTACTATTTATATGACACAAATATAAGGTTTAGGTAATAACAAGTTGCTGTCCTCAGAAATGAATACATCTTTAGTAAATTGTTTGACTGCATTTTTCACATGAGCAGGCAAAAAATGTTATTGTTTTACTATATAACTATCATACTTCATCTGTATAATAAAGAAAGAGATAGTTAACAGTTTGTTTGTAGTGGTATTTATTGTATGTTATAAGTTTTAAACTTATAATTACAGTGATATTTAAATATTGAATTTACCATTTTTGCTGACATTAGTTATGAATAATGGATAATAAACCGTACCACCTTTTCATTAATTTGCGAAATTCTAGGTATTTACTAGTTCAGAATAATGACATCACCTTGACACTTGTACTGTGATTAACTTGTTGTTTTGACAGTTCTTGCATTCTTATTGCTAGATTGTTGGCATTAATTTTAGGGTATGCAGTCTATAGACTAAATTTGCTGCCAAAAAACATAAATAAATCATGCAGCTATAGAAGTACATAAAAGCCAACCAGTACCAATGTAGTGTTCTTCTGAAGAAAGCATCACAGAGAATATGCTTCAGTATAACGTGGATTTCAGAACCAGGGTTACATAAGTTATACAAATAATGGTTTTTACCAACACAGGTATGTATATACTAATCTTTATTCATCTAAAATGTACTTCATCCAGGTATGTATATTCCTTCCTTCTCAAGATGTGGAATTATCATGGCAATAAGAAGTCTTTGCATCAACTCCATGAGGATGACTATGTTTTCGTTATTTTACAGCTTCGTAAATTATTGGCTTCGAGTTTATATTATCAGGTAAGTAACAGTGAATTATTGAATGTAATGTTTAAAAAAATGGGAATAAATATGTTTCTCGTTTTCAAATTAATGTATCTTTCACGATTAAGAACCTCGTTATTACAGTTCATTTCAAAATCAAAGTCAGGAAAATATGTAACTGGCAAAAATATCTGATCTCACACTAGTTACACTTATGTGAGCAATATTAAAAATAATGTAAACACATGAAGACTTGATTACAAAATTCCAGAACAGGTTACTTAATTTTAACTCTAATCTTATCTTTCGTTCCTTCATGCAATGGATATTATCCATATAAAAATTATATAAACGAGAATAAACAGACATGATATGAGCACAGGACCTAACTCCACTACTTGTTACTTTATTTGTTTGTTCGGTAAAACTAAAATTATTAACATACCATAGAAATAGGTAAAAAGAAAAAATATAGTAAATAATTTTATAATTTACATTTAAAAGTTCAAAGAAGTCACCGTAAGGTTTTTTGCTTTTTCTTTTTTTTTAAATATGACGTAGGTGGATTGACGAGCTCGTCTGACAGCTGACAAATGACGAGGTCCCTAAACCAGTTTATGCTAGCAGAATACATTTCTATAGTCCAATGGTGATATGAAAAAACAATAATTCCATATGATAATAATAACTGGAATCACTAAAAAATTACCTATAAGATGGACACTTTTAGTTAGTTAATAACTTAATAATAATTTTGCCAATTATTTCAATCGTAAATGTGCATAATTAGACACTGTAAACAACAACATTTACATTACATTTTATTTTTAGGCATTATAATATATGTAGAATCAAAGAATGAGGTGTCAAATAAATATAATATTCTTAAATCAAATATATGTTTATCAATATTATACTTTATATATTTTTGAAAATATTGTTGTAACAGTTTCTATCATTGGGTGAATTCTTTTTGATTATTCGGAAATGTAATGCAAAGTCCAGTCAACTTAAACTTTGTTTGGTTGTTTGTAGTTAAGCGCAAAGCTACATAAAGGGCTATCTTTGCTCTGCCCACCACGGGTATCGAAACCCGGTTTCCAGTGTCGTAAGTCTGCAGACATGCCGCTGTGTCACTGGGGGACGACGAGAAAAGAACTATCCTACTCAGCAACAAACGTACAATGGGCATCAAAAGACACAGTTTATAAGTATGTATGGTTCAAACCTGGATGTCAAAGTATAAACTGTAAAAAAATGTGAACCTTAAATATTTTGAACTTAATTCGTGTGTTGAACGGTAAAATTTATCGCATACTATAGGTCCCTTCTGTAATTTGACTAGTAAAGTAAAAAATATTGTTTTGTTTTTTAACGATAACATAAAACAGAAATTCATATTGTTAAACACAGATGTAATGTAGCAAAAAGCCTACAGAAAAATAGAGCTTGATATCTTCTGACTTTGTAAATGGGCAGTACAGTACATTTTATAGAAATTGTGGGATCATATTTCATTGCTTCACATTTCCAAGCTATGGCTTGTTTAACATTTTTAATCAACCTTAGTATATTAAATTATTTTTGTGTTACCATTGTATCATTTACAGAGGTGTAGGAGACATATTAAAAGTGGAGGAGCCCAAGGTTTATTTGAAAGAGCATGTCTTAGGGCCATAGAAGCTCTTTTTTCTGGATTATATTTTAAACATTCTCTTGCTTTTCCTGAGAGTAATTTTCTTAATTTGGACGCATTTTTACAGAGATTGATTGAAAAGTGGTGGGGCACACGCCCATCCGCTTCCTACGCCATTGATTTATAAAAACAGTGAACTACTACATCAGATATTAATCACTAACATTGTGTTCGTTAATCAATGTACGACCACATGTTTCAATGTTAGATAAGTGTTAAAGGTTCTGTTTAGTTTAACGGGTTAAAAAGTTTTGTTGATGTGTATTGTTTTTATGCGATTAATATAAAGTTATCTATTAGTACGTTAAGAAACAATTTGAAAACAACATCACAAGGTTTTGTTTTCTGTTTTGGTTTCACTATATATCTATATGACCGTGCTTACTAATTATTTGTTGCTTTTAAGTTAGAAGAAGTGGGAACATCAGAGACTAGTGAGAGTACGACACAAAAACTAATTGTTAAAATCGGAGAATATAAAATCGGCAAGCGTAAGTTTAAAGTTTGTAATATTTGATCATTTCTGATTTTATCCCCTGTTTATTTCTTAATTTAAGAAAATACACTAACGTTAAGTCGCGGTAAATACTATTCCATAAATATGTTTTTAAATGCTGATAAATAACCAAAGAAATCCATTTATTTAGGTGTTCTCATTGATTGTAAGTTTGATCTTAATATTACGTAATGCTTAAACTTGGACAAAGAATGCAATTTTTACTTTGAAAGTACATCTATGCACAACCTTGGCATTTATTAAGTAAGATAAGAATAACATATTAAATGTTTAAATTATTTTCATTTTTAAGTGACATAAAATGCTGTCTTGTTAATAAATAAAAAAACATTAAATGCGCATTTAAATTCGACATATCAAAAACATCTCACACAACTGTTTGTATATGTTAATTTTCTTAAAACAGTAGCAAAATAATTATGATGTTAATCACAGTTATTAACACTGCCTAAATTGTTTATCAGAAGTAATATTATCGACTGCTGAAAGCCAGCTATCTGCTTACGATATCTGATCTGATCTGTTCTAGGTATCGGTATTTAGGTCTTTTAGACCTTGGAGGGGTTGAAGTTCGCGTAAATCTACTAGAGGGCTACTTGCGCTAGTTAACTCTAATCTAAAAATCATAGACCAGAGGGAAGGCAAGCTAATCGCCACACTTCTTGACCAATGAAAAGCGGAAGTGACCATCACAACGCCTGCGCGCGTTATAACTGCTGAAAGAGCTAACATATTTGGGATGAAATTCGACCTCAAGGCTCACGGATTGTAATTCGAGCGCCCTAACCACCTAACAAACCATCAGATATGACGAGAATATAATTATACTTTTCCACAAAAGTAGAATAGGCATCAAAAGACATTTTACAATACGCATGGAATAGACTAAAACGTATATTTACATATTTAAGCAATGTAAGAAAAAGAAATTAGATGTTCGTTTTATTTTTACGTCACATAAAATGCTGTCAACAAACTCGCCTTGTTCATAAAATAAAACAGCATACAGTGTGCATATTTAAAGTTGATTTTTGAAAAACAGCCTCAAACGACTAATATTAACCGACTGTAGGTAGCGTGGCGGCATGAGAAAAAAATGTCACGAAAATCGTGCATTTTGATAAACAAGCGTGAAAATTGCTATGATTCTAAAATTTAATATGGAGATTACATTTTGGTTTCTTGTCAATCTGGATACTTCCCAGAATTAATTATGATGTTGAATATTTTCTCACAATTTTCCCACAAACCGTTCAAGAATATAAAACATTTGTCATAGGCGTCGCTAGGCACTGGCACATGGAACCCGTGTCCAAATTCTACTTGACAGTGCCCCGAATCCCCAGTTGGTGTTTTTAAAAATCAAAATAGAAAACCACGATCGATATCATACAGAAGCTTCGAAAATTCCCACGCCTATAGGCCCAAGCCCCGAATCTTTTAAAACCGTAGCGACGCCTTTGCTTTACATGTAACATAGTTGACTTCACTATATAAAAATAATATATTGAGTTCTAGGAACATTTGCTCGCGGTAAAATTACATCAAAGAGGCTATATATGTGTTTGTATAAAGAGGGTAGAGTACGTTTTATTACTTTGACAACCTGAGGTACCCGTTCTTTGTCCGGGTTATGAACTTAAAATAAATGTGCATGTGTGTGTGTGGGGGGGGGGGGGTGATATAAATAATACAAAATCCTAACTTTAAAATAATTTATATAACATAACATATTATTACAGTATTCATTATTACCTCACCAAAATTTTTTGTATAAGCTTTAAGAACCCACTACGTATATACTTAAAACATGGTATACACTGTGCATTGGACTTTGTAGAAAGAGGTAGCGGATAAAAGAAGTGGCGGTAAGAGTACCTTCCGTTATCCACTTTCAACATCCAGCTTCTAACGTCCTTTCACAGTGTTTCACGTAATTAATTAATGGACGGTCATTGGCCGCAGAACTGGCTTACGTGCCGAAGTTGAAAGGCCACGGGTCAAAGTAGAAAGTGAGTATAACTCAAGAAACGGCTCTTCATATCAGCCTTATGGTAGCTGTTGGAGTAAAAACTTCAGCCGTGGTTATGTAGTATTCCAATATTAGCGGCCATTTTTTTTTCATTGCATTCCTCCAAAGAGAGATAAGACATTTGTGAGCACCCTCCCCCCCACTTTGTGTATGTTGTGTTATAGAAAATTCAATAATTTTTGTGTAAGGATGTGGCGCCATCTATGAATGTACTTAACGTTAGCTTATATCAAAGATAATAAATGCTCAATAACAGCAGTATTTGGGGTGGAGGGGGTTGTGAGCCCCATTAACATGCCTCTTGTTCTAAACTATCTTTCCCATAAAGTTTAGTTAAGATTGGCCCAGCGATCTAGGAATAGTTAGATAATAGACAAACAGAGAGACACACATATTTGTGTTTTATATATATAGTTTGAAAACGAGTTGGTAAAAAGATCAAGATTAACCACTTTTACCATCAGGCTACCGTTCTGAACCCTTTTTACCACACAGAAATACTGGCTTTGCAAGGAAACGAGGCCAACAAGATTATGGGGCACCACGATTAGATTTCCAGTCGTAGTTCCCGTTCAACGGTTTGATACCTCAAGAAAACGGAGAATGCTATTCCATACAGTACCCCTGTGGGACAGCAGTAAGTTTACGGACTTATAATGCTAAAATCCGAGATTTGATTCCCTGCGACGGACACAGCAAATAGCCTAACGTGGCTTTGATCTATAACAAACAAACAAACAAAATATTTCTTACAAATCATTCAGATGGAGACGCAAAATGTAGCGCTTATGGTTTTCTATGTTATCAGAATGTTGAAATGAGCGCTATGAAATCGTCATTCATGTATCTGTCTCATCCCTCCAATAGTTGCTCAATCATTGCAATAGAACCAGATTCCTAATCTGAGATATCGCCCCACTTACCATAAATTTTCAAGGCTTTAGTTCAAGTTTAATTAATAATTGCTTAAGCAATACAAACAAGGTATTCAGGTCGGCACTACATTAAAAAATGAACTTCATATTTGGAACTATAAGAATTCTATACCAGTTTGCATTATTTTGCTGTTATGTCACTTATGGTAGTAATAATATGAATAAAGTGACTTTATCTCGATATATATTAAGCATATATATATAGTATGTTATTTTTGAGTACGAAACATTAGGACACATTAGGCTAAATAACAAAAGCCTAAAACCGTCTCAAGATTTAAACTGCTGACCGGAAGGTAATAAAACTGACAATAGCAGCAATAACCAGGCTTGGAGATAAATTGACAACTCCATATTAGGCTATATGCTGTGTCTACCGTGGGAATCGAGCCATGGACTTTAGACTGCAAACTTAC